TGTGAGATTGAGACCTGACTCTAAAATGAATGAGTGAATGAATGAATGAATGAATAAAATCCAAAACCTCAGGACCAGACAATTTCACTGCTGATTTACAAACACTTTATAAACACTGATTTATAAACACTTCTTTAATCTAGAAAGTTCAAAAGGAGGGAATTCTTTCAAACACATTCTGCATGGCCAGCATTGCTCTAATACCAAAACCAGACAGGGACACTAGAGCAAAACCAGGGTTGGCAAGATTACTTGGTGGGTAGAATTGCTTGCGCATAGCCCTGACAACTCGAGCTACATCCCTGGATCCTATGAGGTAGCAGGAGAGAACTGACTCCCAAGAGCTGCCCTCTGAAGTCCGTATGTACACCTGCACTCACACACACATACACACAAGCAGAAGATAAATAAGTAAAATTTTAAAACAGAACAAAGTGACAACACAAGTTCTTTGAACATAGATGCACACATTTCAGCAAAATACTAGCAAGCCTAATCCACAGCAATTTGCAAAGATACTCATCTTGATCAACTGGATTGATTAAAAGGATTCTAGGATGATTTAGCATATGCAAATTAAGTATGATATATTTCATCAATTGAATGGAAAACAAAACTATATGATCATCAGTATAAACAAAAGTATTTGTTAAAAGTCAACATTCTTTCTTGATAGAAAATGCTAAACATTACTTCTGGAGGGAATGTAACTTGACATGAAAACTGTATCAAGCCAACAGCAAGTGTTGTATTCAATCAGGAAATAAAACTTTCTAAGATCTGGAACATGTCAAAGGTGTCTGTTTTGACCACTTTTATTACTGGAAGTCTTAGAGTCATCAGGCAAAACAAAAAACAAAAGCCCCAAGATACTGAAGACATTAAATTACAAAGGAGAAAGTCAGATGAAAAAGGCTTTTGGACTCTATCATGTTCACATAGGGCCTGACCTTATACATAGAAAACCCTAAAACCACTTTTGGTGGACTCTATCACGTTCACATAGGGCCTGACCTAAACAGAAAACCCTAAAAACGCTTTCGGTGGACTCTATCATGTTCACATAGGGCCTGACCTTATAAACAGAAAACCCTAAAAACGCCAACTTTCAGGCCTTTTAAAAGGAATAAACAACTTAAGCAAAGTTGTAGAATATAAAACTAGCACTTAAAAGTCAATAATGTTGCCCTCTGCCAATTGTGAATTATCTGACATAGTACTCTGGGCAAGGACCTGGGGATAATGTGAACTATTTTGAAGGTTAGAGTGGTATTAGGAAGCGATGTTTGTGAATGTCTGAGACAGTTGATGCTTACTCTCAGCTATCTAAAGATGCCTGTGGCCTAGTCAAATCACTAATATCTATGAACCTACTATGTACCCACACCTACTCACACCCATCCATACCCATGCCCCCCATCAATATTAGCCTGCCAATTCATTATAAGGAGTAAATGAAATAATCCTTGCAAGTCAGCCTACAACTCATATCATTAAAAACGAGTTTCCCCTAGTGGCCTCCTTGTGTCTTTCTTCTACTGAGGAGTGGTGCTGGTGTTTGCATATAGTCAACCAGAAACTGGTTCAGTTTCATGTGTAATGTTGCTAGAGAGGAAAAAAGCTTTTGATGGACTCTACTACAGTCACTAAATTGTAGTGACATTATATTATTTGGAAAAGCAGGATATAACTGTAAAAGTATGAACTGTGTGGAAAATACTGTGTTAGGTAGAGCTGCAGGTGTGGTTGAGTAATGGAGTGTTTGCTCAGCATCTGTATTACTTACATTCTTCTTGCTGTGATAAAACACCATAACCAAGGCAACTTACAGAAAGTTTGTTTGTTGCTCATGGTTCCAGAGGGGTAAATTCATTGTGGCTGGGGAGGCCTGACGGGAGGCCTTGGGAGCAGAAAGCTGAGCACTCACTTCATCAGCCACTTGCAGGAAGCAGAGAGAGAAAACTGGAAGCGGAGCAAGGCAGTGAATTCTCAAGCTGCCCCCTGTGACATATTTCCTCCACGGAGACCATACCTCGTAAACCTCCACAAACACCAATTGGGGCTAAGTGTTCTAATATGTGAGCCTTTGGGAGACATTGCTCATTCAAAGCAGCATAGCATGCATACAGCCCTATTTTCCATCTCTACTACCTCAAAGAGGAAAAGCAAAATAAAATGTACTAGTGGAAAGACAGTTACATTTGTAATTGTTTTTTAGGCAAAGTCTTCCTGTAGCTCCAGCTGGCCTGGGGATTTGCTACGTAGACAAAGGTGGCCTTAATCTCACAGAAATCTGCTTGTCTCTGCTCCCTGAGTGCCGGTTTTAAAGGTGTGTGCCACTACACCATCCTGAACATTGTAATTCTTAAAAGGAATGGGCTTTGATGTGGTCAAACTTTGCTCCCTGAACTGTGGTAGCATCAGAACAAGATCAACTGAAAGGGCAGAATGAGTGATGGAAAAATCTTGTTTGTGTTTTGTTGTTTTGAGACAGGGTTTCCCTGTAGCCCCAGCTGACCTGTGAAGTAGCTGTGAAGACCAGGTTAGCTTCGATCTCACAGACTCAGCCTCCCATATTTTTACATGTTAGAATATTTTTTTAAAAAGTGACTGAATACTTAACCAGAGGTAAGACATGTTATATACAGAAAGATGTCAGATAAGCTATGCAATTGAACCCTAATTTAATTTACTATTCAATTAACACCAAGAATTATACAAAACTGATATATTTAGAAATTAACTTTCTAGAGTATTTAATTCTGTCCATACAGAATAGTAACTGTCAGTTACTATTTTAGGAGACTTACTTGAGTGGGAAGATAAAGGACAAAGAGTAAATACTAAGATAATTTCAGGTGATAAGTGAGCTGAAGTTTAGTGAAGGTCTTCAAGACAAGGGGAGACTTGTTTTAGAGTGAGCTTTGCCTTCAGGAGTGAGTAAGCTTGTGGAATGATTGGGGCATTTAAGGGATAGCTGTTTGGAATGAGCTTGGTGTGTGTGAACCAGTAGCAGGCCAGTGTGCCTAAATCTTAGAGAACAATGTTTATCACCAGAATTATAATAGAACTAAGTCATGTTAGAATTACCTAAAACAACTAGAGTATAGTTTTTTTTTTAAATTTTATTTTACCACTTAAAAAGTTTTTATCTGGAACTAGAGTTATAGCTTAGTGGTATTGAACACACTTAGCATGTGTGAAGCCCTAAGTGATCCTCCATAACCCTGTACCCAAATCATGCAACCATTACAAAAATATAGACGCATGTGAAACAAATGTATGATTTAAAGAAGAGGAATAAAGCAAATATCCACAAAACTTAGAGGTTATGAAATGATGACACTGAGTTGTCCAGTAGCTCTGGCTGCATCCCGCTTCCTTGTACTAGAAGGGAACTTGTTTGATTTGAGATCATAATACACTTGTTATACTATGATTTTGTGACCTACATATATAATGTAAACAAACACTTGTGGTTTATTTTGAACTTTCTGTAGGAAAGCCATATGAGTATGTTCTTTCGTGGCTTTCTTCTTTCTCTCCAAATTGTGAGATTTATCTGTGTTTTTAGTTAGTTTTTTGAACTTTGTACTGTATGCCTATATATACCTTATTCTTTTGTGCTGTTAGGAGACTATGCCCCCAGTATTTGACTCTGTCAGTGATTCCTTCTCCTGTGGATTTTCTAGTTCATATCTACAAGTATATGTGCAAGAATTTTGGAAGTTTCCAGAATTTCTTGGTTTTAGGTCTTCATCAAATTTATCTGAATAATGCTAAACTACTTAAAAAAGTAATTGTGCCATATTTGTTTGAACAGCACAAGAGCGTTTATTTCTTTGCACACAGTCAAAGTAAGAGTTTTGTCCATTAGATGAGTGTGTTAAGGCATCTTGAGGTTTTTGTTTTTCAGTTTTATGACCAGTAATGAATGAACACCTTTTCATATGGCTGTAGGCTATTGGAATTTCTTTCACTTCTTGTAAAGTGCAAGTTTTGCCCATTTTTTTTAAATTGAGTTCAATATTATGCCATTGCTTTAAAGCAGTTATTTGCACTTTGTGCACACTTATTTTCAGTCTTCCATATCATTAGAATTTTAACCTAATTAGAGTTTCTTAGTCCTTCCATATTAACTTTTTCTTGCAAGTTAATCATGCCAAAGCCACATGCATGTTAATAAGTTCATGCTCTATTACTGAATACACATGACAACTGTTGCTTTATTTTAGAAGTGGAGCTTCCTGCTATTCTATTAATCTGTAATGAAAATAAGATTACAGTACCTGTAGTTCTTTGGGAGGTTTCTAATTTTTTTTTTTCTCTTTTCGAGACAGGGTCTCCCTGTGGTCTCAGCTGGCCTGGAACTCAATCTGTAGACCAGGCTGGCTTCAGTCTCACAGAGATCTGCCTATCTCTGCCTCCTAGTGCTGTGATTAAAGGTGCATTCCACCAAGCCTGACTTGGGGCTTGAGAATTATTTTAAGGTATTTCAAAATCTTGGCCATTTAATCTTAGCCATAGTTACGTCTGTAGTGCTATTTTCTACAGACACTTTTCTTTTTTTTATATCTGGTTTTCTTTGGCTGGAGTAGATTGCTTTTGTGATCAGTTCAGAGCACCTGGCTGGCTGTCCTTGGACTTTTGAGACTTAGTGTTTGAAATGATTGTTTTTGTCTGTATCTCATCAATCCCTGGGAGGTGCTGCTTCTTTTTAATTCCCCCCGCCCCCTGCCCCGCCGAACTTTGGACCTTAGGTCTGGGGAAGCAGTAGGCAGTAGAGGTAATAAAGGATTCTTCACTTCTAGGGTGTGGCCTAGAAGGCAGAGGTGACCTGGGAGTGTGCCAGGTAGAGGATGACAGGGCTTAAGTTATGTGTTTTCACGTACTGAGTGGAACAGGGTTCTATTGATCCACCTATCATAGCAGGAATACATTTCCTGTAGACCTTGGCTTAAAGCAAGGACCCCTGTTCATCTATATTCCTTTCTTTCTAGGTCTTTCAGCAGCCCAGCGGAAGTTTGCTCACTCCCTCCGAGACTTTAAATTTGAGTTTATCGGTGATGCTGAGACAGATGATGAGCGCTGCATAGGTAAGAAAGCATGAGGTCTATTGTATTTTCCTTTGCTTTGCCCAGCACAGACTCACTCCTTTCTCCTTACAGATGCTTCCTTACGGGAATTTTCGAACTTTCTGAAGAACCTAGAAGAACAGAGAGAAATTATGGTGAGTAGATGGGGATATAAATTAATTGACTAGCAGGTCTGGTAGAAGCTGGATCAGGCAGATGTCTTAGCTGGTGTAAGTTAAATTCACTGCTGGGAGGTGCACATGGCATCCAGTACCCACCTCCCAAGGTCCTTGCGACAGCCTGAGGAAAAAATTCTCCAAACCCCGGTTTGAAGAATCTTAATGAGTTTATTGGACTTGCTAACTGAGCTTGGGGTGCCGGTTACTCACAGACAAGCGGGTGGCCCCCCACTCACGGCTGTGTTTGAAAGACCACACCCAGACATAAATCCTGTGGTTCTGACAGCCTTACAAAATAGCAAGAGACCAGCCTGGTGGTCTTCCCAGCTTTTATACCCTCAGCCCCTCCCCTGCAAGTGGCTATAGTCAACCAATTGGCTGGAAGAGGGAAGGGGAGTGGCTTCTTTGCAGAGCGTGGGAAGGAGGCAGGTCCATGGCTTGTCATCACTGGGTCAGAGGAACATCCGTGTCATAGTTGGTTAAGTACTTTATTTTCCAAATTTAGATCTCCAGCACCATGTAAAATGGCTGGGCGCGGCAGCATGCCCCTGTAATTCTAGTGCTGTGGAGGCAGAGACAGGAGGATTACTGGGGCTTCCTGTCTAAACTGACTACATTGGTGAGCTCCAGGTTGAGTCCAAGACCCTGTCTTTTAACACACACACACACACACACACACACACACACACACACACACACACACACACAGTGAAGGGCAAGAAAGATGGCTCACCAGTTAGGAGCACCTGCTGCTCTTGCACAGGACCTGGGTTTGGTTTTCAACACCAACATAGTGGCTCACAACCATCTGTAGCGCTAGTTTCCTGGGATCTACTGTCCCCTCCTGACTTCTGGGCACTGCATGCACAAGGTACATGTAATGCATTGAGGTAAAACATTCATACACATAAAATAAAAATAAATGATTTAAGAATAAAAAACCCTAAGATGGAGAAGCAGTTGAGGAAAACATCTGATGTCAATCTCTGGCCTCCATATACACACACACACCTGCAGACAGTGTACACATAAATGAATGTATACATAAAACACAGAATTCTATGGAGGACATGTGAAGATACTGTGGTCACATGGATTTTTCTGACACACACTGACAGGTTCAACTACTACTTGTGTAATGTTATAGTCATTAGTTTCTTAGATATTTAAGAAAGATTAAATATGCCAACAGATAAAAATGTGCCACTGTGATGCCGTCTTTCAACTGTATAATGTAGGGATGTGAGGGTATGGGCTGGTGATGGAACTTTTCAGTTTATTTTATATTAATAATATCAGAGGGCTTGTGTGTATGTGTGCTCTGCTTTCTTTGACATTTAGTTGTTATTTGCTGGGATCCTGAGCATGTGGCAAATCTTTATTGATTTCATTTTATGTTTGGAATCTGAGGGCACAGTGACAAACACTGCAAAGTCCCTGCACTCACAGAGGTTGCATTCTAGCAAGGGAGGCGATAATAGATACGGTACACCAGCAGGCAGTGAAAAATGCTGTAGTCCAGAACAGATATGAGCAAGGAGCAGGAAGTAGGCACATCTCTTGGAACTGTAATTATGGACACTTGTTAGCCACCATGTGGGTTCTGAGAACTGAGCCTAGGTTCTCTGTAAGAGCGGCCAGTGCTCTTAACCACTGAGCCATTTTTCCAGTCTCTCATACTTTGTTTTTGAGCAAAGGGTCTTGCTGTGTAGCCCAGGCTATCCTCGAGCATGGTATCATTTGCCTTAGTGTATAGAGTGCTGGGATTATTATAATCATGTGCCACTACATGCAACTAACTGATAGTTTTCTACTGACCTTTAAAACATCATTAGAAATAGAACTTTCATGAGTTATCAAGAGTATGATAATGAAATTAATAAAAGTTGGAAAGTATGACATTTAACCCATATTGACATTAAATGGTACCGCTGTATAATCTTGTTAGTGATCACTTTTTTTCGAAGTATGAAAACTGAATGGAGGGGCTGGAGAGAGGGCTCAGTGGTTAAGAGCACTGGCTGCTCTTGCATAGGACTCGGGTTTTATTCCCAGCACCCACATGACAACTAACAATCACCTGTAACTCAGTTTTAGGGGATCCCATGCCCTCTTCTGATCTCCACTGACATTGCACAGCACGAGTGCACTTAACACTCATGCAGGCAGTATACTCATACACAAACAGTAAAACAATAAATAAAATATGAAAAAAGAAAATTGAATGGAATTATTAGGGCTGCCTTGAGTCTTTAAAACTTTTAAAAGCTTAAGCAGAAATAATTGTATGTATTAGTACAAACTTTGATTAAGAACAAATACCTCAAGAAATTTTCAATGTGGTCCTGGAGAATAGCTGGTAATTACCAAGTTAATTAAATAGACTAGGAGCAGTGATGAACTTATGAGTGTGGTTGGTGGGAAGACAAGAGCAGGAAGCCTGTGGCTGTTGGTAACAGGCTGTGCTGCAGCTGGGAGTCTGGGGCAGAGCCTCAGGGAGGGTAGGGAGGGCCTTCATTGTCTTAAGAAACTCCTGCTTCAGTTGAAGCCATGCTATTTACTTCTCTCTACTGCCCATCTCTTGCGTTTTCTTCAAGTACTCTCTAGATTTCCAAAGCTCTTCCTTGCTTTCTCTCATGTGTACAGAGAAACACTGAAGAACTTGAGGTGCTCCAGGCAGGCAAAGGTCACAATTACATCAGTGGTAGTACAGGTTGTCAGCTATGTATTATCCCCAAATCACAGCCTCCTCAGACCCAAACTCCAGGCACTCTCTAGACTTCATTTTCAATACAATATAGCCCCATACACATATACTGGATATATTTTAGGTTCATCTTTTAGAAATTTATTCTCCATATCTAGAAATAAATTTTCATCTGGGAAAGATGACCTTTTTGTAAACTACTTTAACTTAACAGTCTCTTAAGGAAAACTCTTCTGAAAGACTTATAATGAAGATAGTCGGTTTTATTACCTTTACATAAAGTTTTTCAAAATAGAGATGAGTCCTTTAGTACTTATCTATAGAATCTTTTAACTGTAAATTGCTTTTTCTGGACATGCAAATAAGTAACTTGTTCTCAAAATCAGTTTTTAAATTCTCTTTGCTCCTGTTCTTTGCATGAAATCAATGGCATTGCACTTCTGTCTTTAGCCTACATCTTCCTGCATTCCTCAGCTTTACTCTTACCACATGGTAAGTATGTTACATACAGTAATCTAGTCTTGATTTCAGTGTACATTTAGGTACTTCTGTTCTACAATCTGTTCTTATTTTTGTTTTTTTCAGACAAGGTCTCATATCTCAGGCTAGCCTCATGTTCCCTATGTAGCTGAGGATTGTATTAAACTTCTGAGCTTCCTGCCTCCACCTCCAACGTGCTGAGATAACAGCCATATGCCACCAGAACTAATGGTGCTGGAGATTGAACCTAAGCTCTGTGCATACTAGGCAAGCACTCTACCAAGAGTGTTATGCCCCAGCCCATGTTCTACACATTTCTTATTTGACATCTTATTGATACCTCAAACTCAGTAGATCTGAAGCTGAATTTATCACTTTCTTGGCCATTTTTTTCTCTACCATTCATTCTTTCTCTTTCCTGCCTTCACCATGTGCTCTGTATTTGGTGATATTTCTCTCTAATTTCATATATTTAAAATGATTACCAAATGCTGTTCTAATCAAATGCTACAGATTCTAGTTCCAAAGTATCTACTAAATGGGGTCCCTTATCACCCCATTCTATCTAGACCTCTACCACACCTTCATCATGCACATGACTACGTAATCAAAACAGAAGTTCGTGTACTATAACCCTCTACCAAGACACACCATTAATTTCATGCAAAGTGGTGTCTAGAAAACAGTACTAATCACTTGAGTTCCTTGGGGACAAACTCATATTTTTATTAACCTCTGTACTTCTAGCAATTAATGTGGTTTCTTATATATGGTTCCTCCATAAATCCTTATTTAAGAGAATATTAAACTCTTACTTTTACTGTTCACCAGGGAAAATTTCTATTTCTTTGTCATTGTTAACTAGAGCTGTCTTTCAATGGCCTATTTAATATTGGCTTTATACTTTTTTAAAAAAAATTAAAAATAACCACATGATTAGAAGAAGCATTTCATTACCACTTTAACATATTCAGTAACACATTCTGGAGCAAGGATACATCTCTTTCAAAGGTGGCTGTAAGTTATTAGGTTCACAGTTGAATTAATACAGTGATAAAATATTGAACTCAGTATAAACCCTGTAAGACATAAAATTGAATGAGTTTTTAACCCTTCAAAGAAGATCTCCATTTCATTTTAAGATATGCTGTTTCCTACATTTTTAATGCTACTAACACTTACATGTTTGCACATGTGTCTTCAGTCTCTATGTATCTGATTATTAATAGTCACAGTCAGTTATACTCGGATCCTTAGTACCCGAGTATGGATATGAAGTCATCAGGTAGATTTAACTGGTAATATTTATTACCTCTGCTATTTAACGTGCAGTAAACTTTTTGAAATTTTTAATAATTACATGATTAGAAGAAGCATTTCATTGCAGCTTTAACATATTCAGTAACACACTCCAGAGCAAGAATACATCTCTTTCACAAGTGGGTGTAAGTTTCTAAGTTCACAGTTGAACTAATACAGTTATACAATATTGAACTCAGTATAAGCCCTGTAAGACATAAGATTGAATTTTTTTTTTTTTCTTTTGGTCTTTTTGCGATGGGGTCTTCCTATAGCCCCAGCTGTCCTGGAACTTACTATGTAGACCAGGCTGGCCTTGAACTCACAGAGATCCACCTGCCTCTGCCTCCCGAGTACTGGGATTGAAGGCGTGTGCCACCATGCCCGGCTGAATGAGTTTTTAACTGTTAAGAAAGATCTCCGCTTCATTTTAGAATATATTGTTTGTTGCAGAAAGACTCATTGTTTTTGCTACTAACACTGAGGTGTT